TTAATATATATATATATAATATATATATATATATATAAAGAGTTACACATTAAAAATTAGAATTAGGTAATCATATAGGTTACCACGTTAACAACTGATATCCGATTGCCATAATCTTACTGTAAATACTCGGTCTTCTCATTTAGTAGTTTCAACAAACAGTTAAGTGTGTGAAGATTGATAGTGAAACATGCCAGGACTTTAGCAGAGACATTTGGGTATTTCATGTTCTTGAAACTAGAAAATGGTCAAATACAGCAAGTTGTTGAAGTGACTACAAATCTCTTAAAGTGTGGTTTCCAGGATGTGAACTTGCTTTCACATCACCAATACTGTAGGCTAAAGACCTGTAAAAGGAAAGCCATTATTGCCAAATCAACAAGACTACTACCTTTTAACAATATGGGCTTGATGGTACTAGCAGACCTCGGCTTCTCGTTTGAATCAACAGTTAAGAGCAACGTCTGGACAACAATTCATTGTGCACATTGTGAGAAACAGGCTTCATGAGTTTGACTTTTATGTGAGATAACTGATAACATTCTGTTCTCTAATCCATGTTCCCTGGTGGGTCAGTGGTAAGCTTACGGGCTTACAATGCTAAAATCTGGGGTTTGGTTATTCACCATGGATAGAGTTCAGATAAAATCCATTGTGTAGTTTTGCACTAAGAAGAAAACAACAACTGTAACTCATTGCTGCAAATAGCCCATCTTCAGTGGTATCAAGAACAAGGACTGTTCAGAGACAAATCATATTGCACACTGTAGCCAGGTATAACACGTGTGTATTTGAAGAGTGACAGATACAATATCAGTTTCATAGAAGACAGATTTGTTATGGCAATGCCTTTCTGATTAAATAATGAAATGATTGTTTTGGATAACCAACTTTATTCAGTTGTTACTGATAATGGATTTGTTTGCTCAATAAAAAAAAGAGTACAATTTCAATATTAATTACCAATCAAATTTGTTTTCCTCAAAATATTTGTTCCAGATATATATTATATGAAAGATGCAAAAGTTAAGTTGATAGCTTTCACATTAGTATTGTTTCTTTAACATCAGATATCTGTTTCTTGACAACCACGTTTTAAATGTTTTTTTGTAATTCTTACTTAATTTGTCATTTTTTGTTAATATAGTGATTTTATTCATGCAACATGAAGGTTGAATAAAGTGAGTTGTTATTCATCAGAGCATAAAGATTTTTCAAAATCTGTTTCCTCATTAATGGTTTCATTAGTTCCACACTACTCTGGACCACAGATGATATGAAATTACATGTTGCTTTTAATGTTGAGTATCTTCGTAGGAGTTACACTGGTGGTGCAATAGGAAAAAGGTTAGAAGATCTAATAATTATGTGGAAAATCAAAAAGAAATGTATTCACCTCCTGTTGATAGATACAGGAGCAAATCTTGTCAAAGGTTTTAATGATTGTTAAGTGAGTCATGTTTTTTCTACATATAACAGCTTGTGATCATGCATGTTCTTGAATCACAGTAAGCTGAAGTTAATCTCATAACAATCAATGAAAAAGATTGTTTCACATTTGAACCACGTATTTCATAATTAATGGATATACAGAATGGTATAAGTATGCCTGCGAAGAACAGTGAAAGCATTTATAGGAAAAGGGGCTTGAAACTAGATATGCTGGATTCAAAGCATTTCAAATTTCATCTTATTTACTTTGTTGGAACTTTACTTTAAAGTAATATTTTTCAAAAAGCAACAAAACAGAGCATGACAGAGAAAGTATTAAATCTGAAAACTTGACAATCAAGTGTGGTTAAAAGTGTTAAAACAACATGGATGACTACATACATCCCACCACCTGTTAAAAGTTTTTCAAGAGGAGACATGATTTATTCTAGAACTGCTACAGTAAAATATCTACATGCACTTGTGGCATTAATGATATTGGTCAAATGGGTCATAACAAAGAAGTTGCATTTGCAATTGAAATTAATTTATATTTATCCCTACCACATTTAAAACAACAGTCTAATCTATTATTTTGGTGCAAACTAAACAAAGACAAATTTTCAGTACCAGCTCATTTAACACAAAGATTTATATCAGCTCCATCCAGTAGTGTGTTTAGTGAGTACCCCTTCTCAGAAGTTGGCAACATTTATGAGATAAAGGGATACTGGATGTTTCCACAAAATGCAGAGTGGCTAATGCTTTTATATCAAAATCTCAGTCTTTAACTTTAATTACTGAAAAAGGCTACTTGAGTAATAAATCCTAATAAGAAAACTTAATATTGCAATGTGCCTTCAATACATGATAATAATAAGCATCATGTGATATACTGATACAATGCAGGTTTACAGCAATGCAAAACAAAAATACCTATGCATGTTAACTACTTTCTTTCACAGCTGATTGATAAACATATATTAATAAGAGAAAGTGCTTTATGTTTAAATGAAAGTATCATATTAAACTTAACCTATCTTCTTTCTGGTAGACATCTCTTTATGGTTAGTTATGAGATGTAGTTGAAACAGTTTATTAATCATTGCAAGTTATGAAAGAAATTTACTACTACTACATTTATAAATGTTACTACTTACTGAAAAGTAGTATTTTCATGAACTAAAGAGCGTATTGTTTTTACAGATTTGTGAACCATGATGTAATATGCCTATTCTTGTGGTTTATACTGTAGGTCAGGACACACTCATTCAAAGGAGTCTTCATCTTCTTGAAGCATTCTTTCATGGCAGGATGTTTTTTTACAAGGCTTACCTGGCCTTACTGCTTCAAGCAGTTTTTCAACTCTGGAACAGACACATGGAGTTTCATTTCCTGTGCCGCAAGTATTATTAATGCCAAGATTGTTCCAAGCATTTTTCTTGGATGAATGCTTTGAATGCTCATGTGAAATGATATCATTCTCAATACTAGTGACATGAGTTATATGTATTCTTTTTAACTGTTATAAAGTCTTCAGTAATGCTTTTCTTTGCTTATATGTGTTTTATTATCTCTTAGGTACTCGGGTATTTGTAACTTCCACAAGTTTTTTAACTTTTATTTTCCCATAAATAGATACCCATTTTGAGTTTATCAGAAAATAGGTGAAACCCAAATTTTGTAGTAATGTTTTTGTTTTAAACATAATCTGCCTAAGAGAATAACCCTTAAATAACTATTTAAGTCTGTTGTACAGTTCAAGATATTCACATCAGATTCTACCAGTTTTCCTTTCTGAGAGAACAGCAATGTAAAAAAGTTTAAACAAAATATTGATAAACCAGAACATGAAACAAAAAAGGGGGATAAAAATATGGAGCTAATAAGATTAAAGAACTGTCATGTATATGTGTGGAGAATATCTTTGTAATTTTTAAATCTGGTGTCTGGATGCATTTTTTGTCGATCCTATAATGGTTTTTTCTCACTCCTGAGCTTCTATCTTGCCTGGGAAGACCTAGAAGCATTTGAAAGTAAAATGATATCATGCACAAAATAATTGAAAATTATTAATTTAAAAAGAGGAATGGGGATAATCAAAAAAATAGTACAGAAACAAGTTGAATCAAAATGCAAAGATTATATTTTCAAGCCCACAACTAGGGACTCTAACAAAAGTAAGCAAACTAGGCTGGAAATAGTGTCTACATTCTTTTCTCAAGCTACAAATCCCTATTTTGACTACAAGAGTATAGTACTTATCAATTTTAATTTATTGTTTCTGTACTTTTTTTTGACGATCTCTATTCCCCTTTTTAAGTTAACAGTTTTTAATTATCTTGTTTCTTAAGTTTTTTATGTCCATTTATGGAGAATAAATTTTAAGATATATACACGTATATGTATTCAGTTGAATGTTACATATTCTCAACAGTTTGCTGCTGCATTGGCTTTTTTCCCACCCATCCATTATTTACTGAGCCAGGTGGATTTGTGCCTGAGGTTTCATGTTTAAGAAGCATTGAGTACAAAGAAAGCCACTCACAACAACATCTCATATATTATATACTTATAGTCATGTAAATCAACTTTCAAGGAAAAATAATCAACTTTTTTAAATAGGGCATGGACATTCGCAGCCTTTCATATAATATATCTGTCTAGGTTTTGTGCAAAATATCCAACTGATTTTGCTGTAGACTTGTGAAACAAAATTGTGAATAATAATAATAATAAAATAGGACTAAAATATGCACTCAGAATTTCAGTAAAGTATGAAAATCAGTAGAATAAATTACCACTCACTATAGTAGAGAAATCTACTATGGTAATTGTCTACTATTAGAAAACTCTAAAATAGTCACAGAAAGCGATGTAGAAACAAAGTACAACAGCGAACTTGAGGAATGATGAATTCTCAACATGGCAGTTTCCATTTAATGTGATATAAGTTGCACAAATTATTTTCCACCGGATTTTATTCATTGGCAGAAAATGAAGGACTTAGAGAAATTCTTCAGGGCAAAAAAACAAAGGTTCCTGAATTAATTTTAAAATTACCTTATGATGTACTCAATACTGCATTCATTACTGTTGTCCAGGTTTCAGTAAAATATTTATAGCCATATTTTTCTGTAGCAGCTTGTAAAACTATAGTCAATAATAATAAAGCTAGAGATACTGTTATAAATATACACATTGTTTACTCTTATAAATTGAAGCATTTCCGACTAGTATGATAGTGCTGAAATGTTTTTTTACATTTCTGTCATGCTTAAATGGCTTTGAAGAGCTTATGTTGGTAGCAAAGAAGAACTTAGAAAATTTTAGAGGGTGGAAATCTTGATTTTCAAGAATCAACTTAAAAATAGTCCTACAAACATTGCAGGAGTTTGTTTAGTAGATGTGCATAGATTTTGGCACAGTATACCTAGTCATTTCTGCTGTAAGCTTCAGTGCTTGAATGGCTTCGAAGAGAAACTTGGCTGACACTGATGAAAAAACTGATAAAATCTCTCCTCTTTCAAGAATCAACATAAAAATAATCCTATGACCTGTGCAGGAGTTTTTTTAGTGGGTTTGTCCAGGTTTGAATAAAATATTCATAGCCCTTTTTTCTGTGAAACAAGAATAATATGAATACTAATAATAATATGAAGAACAAATGAATGAATTTTGTCTAACAATTGGAAAATCAACTATTTTACTTTTATTAGTATTTTAGCAACCTATAGATAGAAGATCTTGAGTGTTGTTTCAAGAACAAGTCTGCTTTTTAAGATGGTTTTTGCTTGTATGTTCTATTAGAATTTTTATGAAATCCCTGGGAAATCTGTATTATGGTTCATGATAACTTATTTTTGTATACTAGAAATAAATGACCTAAACACACCAAAATTTGTATAAGAAAGATTTTTGTTGTGATATTTTGCATTTGAATACACAAAGTTTATAAAATGTAAAGACAGTGCTGTGTGTTTAAAATAATTAAAACAGTTAAGTGACTCGCATATGAGCGTAGGTACATAGAGTTCTATACAAATCTGATGGCCATGCAGGGCATCTCAGTAACTATGACGTTAAACAGTTTCCATCAAACAAATATAGTACAAAATACACTTTGAGCTGAATGGTCTGACCAAAAATGACTAATTAATCGATTTATCTAGTAAGAGACACCAGATCTAGCAAAGCTTTCAAAACCTGGGTATTGGAGACAAGGATTAAAACTCAACAGGATGAAAGTACTGGTACTTTTAAGTGTCTATAAACTAATAAGGAAATTCACACAAAATCTTAATACCTTAATACTTAAACACTGCTGTCTGAGATGGGGCTCTGAGGGATAACAGATCCATTATCCAAATATCTTTCCATTTTCAATGCATAATACTATTTCGCAGTATTACAGCTTTAAATTTCAGAGAATCAATAGAAATAATAAAATTTAAAAACAAAAAGAAGTATCAAACAGAGATGAAGGGCCATCAAGTCAATGCATTGATATTTGGCAGTGATGTATTATAAAGGTTGACCAAGGAATTATATAAATAACAATTCAATGTAGTATCACATGACATAGGAAAAAAGTATAAATTATTGTGTTTTGCAAATAACTCTTGAAGGTGATGTAGAGGATGTTAAAACACGGTACATGTAAAGTGTGCTTTTAAAGTGAAAGTTGCTGGTGGCTTCAGTAAAGTTTTTAAATTATTTAAATATAAAAAATGTTGATTTTAATTATTTATTAAATTCCAATATTTTATGTAACTTTTTGTAAGTAGGATCTTGTCTCTCATTGAATTTAGTTTTGTATTGACTGCTTTATCTCAACTACTCATATAGTTATTGTAAAAAGTATTTTTCTTTATTGAGGTCAAAGAAGTATGATTTCAATTTATTGTGTTTGCACGTATATTGTTTGAAAGCAGTGATAGATTTCACTGCTAGTTTGGTAAACAGGTATTTTTAAGTAAAAACTATACTATTCACAGAGAATATAATTGCAAAGACTCACTATAGTATGGGCTTCCAAACGTTTTCAGCACTTCTCCCAGTAACATTCTACATCCTAACTAAGGCTCCCCCCCCAATGAATCTATAGATACTGAGTACTTAAAAGTATTGTGTATTTGCTATGACCCCTCCTCAACACTGTTGTTATCCTCTGGGGGTCCATGGCCCCCAGTTTTTTAATGGTACTTTTCGATCATGTGGTTACATCATTTCTAAATGAAAATTATTATAGGTAGAATAATGATGAATAGAACAGAAGTTTGAAATAAAGTTTTTAAAATATCATGTTATTGAATCTTTATTGACTGTTAGTTTTTTATTGTCCAGTAAACCTGTATTCAGTAACCATATCAAGTTCCTGAGCACAGCATACATATGTTGAAAGAAACTTGACTAGGCAAGATGAATGTTTATTGTCCAGTAAACCTGTATTCAGTAAGCATATCAAGTTCCTGAGCACAGCATACATATGTTGAAAGAAACTTGACTAGGCAAGATGAATGTTTATTGTCCAGTAAACCTGTATTCAGTAAGCATATCAAGTTCCTGAGCACAGCATACATATGTTGAAAGAAACTTGACTAGGCAAGATGAATGAGAAATTCTTATATTTTGTTATACATTTGAAAGATAATTTAAAGTACTTGCTATGGTACAGTTTTAAAGACTAAATATTAAAGTAAAATTAAAAGTGAATTAATATGATGATATTGTTTACAATATAGAGTAGTTAGAGTTCCAAAGAAGTATAGTGATTATTTTATCTTGAATCATTAAACGGATACCCTTACTCTTATTCAACGTTTTTAAGGTGAGATATGATTGTGTATTGTAGTTTAAATTAATGGTTATAGAACATTTTTATTTAGAGATAATATTTTTTGAAATATAAAAGAAACCTCAGAAGCTTACATGTGGAGGATAATGGACTGAACAGCATTTAATTTTGATAAAACAGGTTTTATTCAGGCAGGATTTCCTCTTGCTTTTCATATTTTTTTAACATCACTTTTGACAAATAAATTTATTTTGAGCATTTTCACTTTCTTTGAGTCACAGATTTTAAAGTAAATTTTTTATATTAATTCTAACTCTATTTTAACTATTTTTAGCAGAAAGATATTATGGAATCAATATTTTGTAACATTTAATTAGTGTAATTTATAAAGAAAAATGTAAAACAAAAAATTAAAATTTTGGTTTTTAAGCATCTCCAAAGAGTATCTCATGTAAACAACATACTTGCTGATGTTTTCAGGATTTTCCTGCCCATCCTAAAGAATAGCTTTGAATTTGTTAAGAAACTATCACTTTTTGAGAACATATCCATTTGTTGATTTTCAAGCATTCCACTTGCCTTTTTATCTGCTTAGTTTTTGTACATTGC